ATATATACCCGCGATATGACTATTACTACGTAAGCCTTAGATTAGGAAGATTTGAACTGCTCTCTCTGTTCGCCGAACTTGGCGATTTTCTTGTAGCTATTTTTCCACTAACTGAGGTGACATCGGTCCGGTGCGTATTCGATTGTGTAGATTTCACAATATATACCCCGTCAAATGTGACTGATGGTAGTCTTGCAGCCCTGAGCTGATCGGCTGTTTCTCAGCAGAACTGGGTTTGATGATGCCGTTGCTGCTCTGGTTGTCATCAGTCAAATGCACTCAAATTGACTGCATAGCCCGCGAGGCGATTGCGAAGCCGTTTTTGACCGTCCCTCTTGGGACATTCGCTTCTAATCATACTACGCTCTCCGGTCTAAATTTCCACCAAAATTTCTTTGGAAACCTGGGGGACAAATTTCCCATTTAGCCTTATAGAAGCATTTGGAACCACAAGTTGAACAATCTTAGCAAATTTGCTTTAAATTCTGCACCCAGGGAGTCATGTCGTTCGCAGTTTGGATGAGACAAGTGCTTTAGGATAGGAAAAGTGGCATTTTTGAGCACCCATTAATTGAGCACTAAATTTCAGATCAGTCATCATTGCTCCTTAATGCGAGACGTATGCCTTCGGACGCTGAGCATAATTCAACCGGAAGACATTTTAGACAACAGCTCAGGCACATTCTCCTTGTGTATAGTAAACCTAATGGAATCAAACGGATCCGGAAATGGACGTCATTGAAACACCTGGAGTTGTCCGAAAACTCCTTCACCTCATAGGAGATGGTGAAATCATCGAAGTTAATGTGCAAAAAGAATTAGTGTCTTGGCCAATGGGCTGGGTATTTCCAGCCTCATTTCAGTAAGCCGTCTGTTCCTGAGCCATTGTCTTCCTATAAACCCGTCTGATTCGTACCTTGATCCACGAGTTTTGACCCTCCCATGTTCTTAAGTGTTAGTGCCCCGTCCTGTCTTTTCAAGCCTAGGTTAGGTGAGCTCTATTATTCAAGGACAGTGGCAAAACGCTGTTTAGTTTCAACCAGGTTGTTCAAACTTTGGTCAGTTAACCGTTGTACGTCCATTCGAAAAGGATAATTCGGAGCAAAGATGCGTCGCAGCAAACTTTGGTCAATTAACCGTTGTACGTCCATTCGAAAAGGATATGCAGAGCAATTGCTTCAACCATGGGGGTATAAGTCCGGGTCACACTGTGTTTAGTGTCTTTCTGTTGAATTTCTAAGGAAATCAGTGAATTCAACAAACCGTTTCCACGGGGCGCTGCTTTTTCTCATGGGAGGTCACTATTGTGAATTTTGGCTGCTCTGTATCATGGTTTATTCATTGGCTAGATCCATTGTTCCCATTGTAAAAGATGCCTCGTTTCATACGTTTCTCTTGATCTGCTGTCAATAACTGTTGCTTTGCAGGCAAGCTCCTGCCCGTCAATCCGTCTGTGGCTTCTCGGCTTCCTGGACTTTTCCCTCTCAACGAACGTGTCGTATATGTGGGCAGCTGGGCCTACGGATATATGTCGTTGTCCGCCGTTGGTGCTGTCGGAGTCGGTGGGATTCGTATTCCTTGGGATCCGTCTCTGACTACCAACAACAAGTTCCACTGCAATATTCGGAATCGTCGTGCTGGATCAGAAATCAGTCCGTTTATTGAACTGAACCTTTCCGAAGCATCCACTGTCCGAATTAAGGGTAGTGAATTTGGAGAGTTTCGACTCGGGTCAACTATTGTACTTGTGTTTGAAGCCCCCACAAACGCTACTTGGTGTGTCACCCCTGGTGTTCGTGTTCGAATGGGCGAGGCACTTTTACGGACATAATCTGGAACTTTTTAACTATTCGTTTTTTTTTTCCAGATAATCGTGCGTGCTTTCCACCAGTGACCGCATGACTTTTTGTGGCTGTATCTAAATCGTTTCTAAAATCACTTATGCGCCTTACTTTCTATAGTATTCAAGTAAGCTGAATCCATCAATGTTTTTGCTTTTTCCTGTTTTTTTTTCACGAGTGGATCATGCGGATGCGTCAACTAAACTAATTGGACAGCAATGCAACAATTCCCTGAGTTTGTCTGTTGTCCATCTTTCGCAGTCTCGTAGTCTTCAGCCAACGAATGTCAGCGGATTGCATCGAATCCTTCCACAACCTCTGCTTGAATGAGGAATTAATAATAATAATAATCGTCCAGCTGTAACACCCTTCTGGTGTCTAGCTGCCATGCCACCCGGAGGAAGCACGAGGGTTGGGATACTGCCAGGTCACCCAGGCCTAGACAGGGGAAGTCGAGTGGCAGAGGTCGGGTTTGAACCACGGACCTTCTGGTCAGTAAATTCGCGCTCTAACCACTTGGGCCATCTCGCCCCCGAATGAGGAAGTACTAGCTCCCTGCATGTAATCTAACTAACATATTCGTCTCCAGGGTCCACACGCAGCTCAATACTGGTGTACACCTGTCAGGTCTTTCTAATTCTTCATGGTATGTCAGAATGTGGTAGCTTATGCTAATCAGATTTGACAGTAGCGTACGCCAGCTGCATACTGCTGTCGCACAGCTCTTCAATGCGCTGTTTTATATCGGGAACCTTCCCGCAGATTTGAATGACAAGCACATTCTACTGGACCGGGGGCGAGATGACTTAGTGGTTAGAGCACGAATTTACTGACCGGAATGTCCGTGGTTCGAACCCGACTTCTGCTTCTCGACTTACCCTGTCTAGGCTTGGGCAACCTGGCAGTATCCCGGCCTTCCTGCTTCCTTCAGGTGGCATGGCAGCTAGGCACCGAAAGGGTGTTACAGTTGGATGACTGCTGTCTACTGGACCGGTAGTATTTTTGCGTAAAAGTTCGGCATGGACGTTCATCTCGCCGAAAGGAGGGGTATTATGCAGCCTTGTGAACAGTGTATTTGTGAAGCACTTGTCTGGCAGGGTCGCACCAGTATTCCATTGAATAGATTGAGGGAGTATACAGCAAGATATCGGCTAAATCTGTTTATGAACGTGCAGCTCACATTCATTGGATATTCGTGAGTGGACTGATATGTTCATTTCTTGCGAATAGTGTTTGTAAGTTGATAATTGGACATTTGGTTGCTTGATTTTGTTATTTTTTGCCGAGTCGACATGCTTAAACGCTCATTCAGATAATATTCCATTTTATGGCTCTAAATGGTGCGGCGGCTCTGCGATTCTTCTTTCCCTCGGGTTGCTTGGTAGCTGCATGCCGGGACCGCCCCATGGCTGAACTTCATTACTGCGTTGTTTTAACACCTTCAAGTTTTGTGAAGCCAGCCGCGATGCGATTCCTCTATTTATAATGTTCAGCTGGGGGGGGGGGAGTTTCCACAATATTCCATGAATTTCTGAGTAAACACTTGCTAGTTCTCTAAGCCAGTTGAATTGGTCAAACAAGTCATGAAATGCTGCCGGAATTTGGGGGTCATTCTTACCGATTTCTTATTCACTGTCGAGTTTGCTGGGTGGTTGCTCCCGCATGTTTTACCTCAGACTTTTTGTATCTAACAGTCGAATTGCAGTCAAGTCGCACTTATCTGTGGATGGCAATTTGAAAACGGACAGTCGTCCACGAAACCGTCCAGACCTGAATGCAGATTGATGTTTGTGCACTATCTTCATCTGAACGTACTATAATGCATAATAGAACACTGGGGAGCAGTCTGGTTGTTTTCGCACTTCAGAGCATTACTCCATTGAGGTGGTGAAAATTTAATCGCTCAATCATTATAGCGCTATTCACTACGTTTAATAATAGGTTCATGCATGAAACGGATCGAACAGTGATGTTAGCCAAGGGTGAAACACATAGGCTAAAATTTTGAAGTCTCCTATTGATCCCCTTTGGAATCTATGTAATCAACAAAAGTTTCAAATGACTTCCTCCAGCACTGTTCTCTCTTGGCACTACCTATATTCGAGGAAATGTCCTAGACCGCTCAATAAGGGTTTATCTTCTAGAGCTAACTGAGGCAGCGTAATTCCGGAATTTCCATCAGTCTCGTTTTCTACTTGGCAAATGAATCGGATTCATCAGTTTTCGGGTGGGAGACTGTAATGAATATTTCGTTTATAATTTTCTCAAACTGTATGTGTTGCACAAATACACGGATTATTTTGTAGAAACTAAAACCACCAAATGGGTTGAAAGCTAAACACTCTCCCAGTTTGTTTTATGACTCAAGCGTATCCAGCCGCTTTCATTGCGAGCAAATTTCCTTGACATTCTACAGTCCTTTCACATAGTTTCACCAATTAGGTAGGTTTATGTTCGTTTTCGTTTAACACGTTGGAAGTTATCCTGGCGTTTCTCAATTCACGTGAAACTTGACAATGTTCTGAATATAGCCGTGCCTTCTCAAGAACAACACACAACAGGCTAACAGTGGTTTTCAGATTGTCGTCAGCGGGCCAGTGCACGCCAGGTTTATATATGAGAAATGGGGAGACAAGTACAAAATAAGAGGAGGAAAAGCGAAGCCACTCTGTCTCCTTCAAGCACCTGCGTACATGAGCCTATTCATACTTCTGTAATGCTCTTAGTGATGAGCTGTCGATCGTGTGACCGGTTTAACAGGCTAGACTTGACTGTTTGCAAGCACTGCTTACCTGCAACCCAATACCAAATGATTCGGCTGTTTCGACAAAGTTTGTGAGTACTTATTTAAACGAGTGATGGCCAAACCAGTGTTGTTTTATTCCATATGACATGTATCTACAAACGAGCAATGATGCCCCCCCTATGTGATCTTGCGCTGTTACCGTTCAAGGATGCTGGTGGCAACTCAATAGATCGTACGTCACAGAGGCACATGAAGGAGTAAATAGCTGTGGATTAAGTCATCACTGGTAGCATGTCCTCGTTATTTAGTGAGTGTCAGAAAAAAGAAACTTCACGTGGATTGCGTGAAAGGAAGCCTCGATTAAAATGTCCCCGTATTGGCATCTTAGAAGCAAGCGTTACACCTTAATGACTATTGTAGGCGGCTGTTAGGCCTAAATTTTAGGGTTTTGATCGACAAACCTCTTGATGGAGGAGTAAGCTGCGCGGAACGACTGCCTCTAGAATGTCATAAACGAGGGGTTCAGTTGAGTGTCTCATGAAAACCAAATTGATTTGCAAATGAATGTATTTCTCGAACACAGTCCAATTTACGTTCAAGTAGAACATAAGGTTGACAGAAACTCGGGGACTGCGCCTATCTAATGAGCCCCAAGAAGGGCGAAAACCGGTCGTGGCTGTCGAAGAGTTTTCAGCAACCTTGTGAGTCGTTTCCTTTATGAACTGAGCTATCATATTTCAGTAAGTCTAAAGGTTTCACAACATGGAGACAACTGAGAAAAAACCGAATGTACAATCTTTGGATCTTAGAAATGTTGTGGAATGTAGGTAGCTAGGTTGCACTGCTTAATTGTTGGTCCCTTCGCCGGGCTTGGTAGTTGGACTGCAAACACTTCGTCACCAAACGAGGTGGCGTCGTCAGTGCAGGTCACTCTTTCACTGACGATGTCACCTCGTTTGATGATGAAGCGTTTGCAATCCAGCTGCCAAGCTCGGCGAACGGACCAACAACCAATCTCTGGATCTCTAAGACAACAAGCTATGCAATTCACCGACTTTTTCGAAAGCGGAGATGAATGCGATTTACACTTTAACACTCATTCAAATGTGTGCAATGTTCTATTGATGAACTTACAATATTTGCGCGTTTTAGATAAAAATTCAAGTTTCCATTTTTCTGATCACGATTTTGTGTCTTATCACGAGTCCTAGTGACTTTCTACTCTCCCAGGCAAAAACAAATTGTCTCGCACTTTTCGGGTGGATGTCCCCCGGGAACCCATTAAGGAAGGTGTAAAATCCACCTACTTACTTACACCACCTGGTCCGAAAGTATTATGAATACACATGTCATAAGGTGCCGCCATTCCCGGGGAGTATGGTTAAGTGAAAGTACTCACCATGCACCGAGAATGACCTTTAAACAAACCTTTGTAAGAAAATGAACGTTAATATGACGTCATCCTAACGCTGCTTGTCTCGGGCAGTCGCATTTCCAAAATGTTACGGTGTCGCTGTAATTGATTTTCGAAGAACGCAATGAGAACTTAAGTTTTTGCTGTATCTACGATCCTTCGGAGAATTGTTGGACGACAAAATCAACTCTGAATGTTTACTCTGACTAGTTATGTGTTTAGTTTGTGTGGGGCTAGGTTTTAATCCACACTAATGGGAACGTGCTGAGGTAATTATCAGTTTTCTGTGTTGCGTAGATTAATCTATAGTCTATAGTGAACTAGAATCGACAAAACTCTTACTAGACTTAGTTTCAGTAATTTGGTATCCTTTATAAATATAGGTTTCTCCAGTTATTCATTTGAATGTACTCAAAACGAAAGGATATGTTCCTTATCGGCTTAAATAAAATCGAAAGATGCTAGATACCATGTCGATCGTAGAGCGAACGGAACTGAAGTTGTAAGCCTGGTCCTAGATTTTGATGAATTTCTTATCGACGTCTTGTTCACAGCTTCCTTGTACAAAGCAGGCGTATTATCCACAGGATGGTGAGATGGGCTTTCAGCTCTGATCATGCAATGCAAACATGTGTTGTTAATCTGGGGGAAGGGCCCATTCTCAACAGTTTACTTGATGGACATTGGACTAGTATTCGCATTAATACAGGGGTTTGTGTGCCATACGGGCATACATGATGGTAGCTCCGCGGAATACTGGGCACAGTTTTTGGAACGACACGATGAAACGATTAGGATTTTGAGAAACTTACTCCGCAAATGGATCTTGACTGAGATTCAGAATGTCGTAGAAATTTTGTAAACCAGAAAACTGGCCGACTATGGATGACTACTCTTACGTATAATATTAGGACTTCGGCGAATACGTGTTTCTTTCTTCCATTATATTTTACGCACAGTAGAAATATGATTAGTGTATGGCTTTGGAGGAAAGCCAAGTCTGTATG